CGTTATATTTATTGTGATGCAAACGGTTGAAGAGGCTCGAGGTATTCATTTTGTCACAAAAATTTAATTTATGTGTTTGCGGGTTTTGTACAAGCTTCGCATTCCTGAAGGGGAATTTTGTTTTATATTTTTCAGAGATCATGTTGAACCTGTTGGGTATGCCATAGGCTCACAATATTTTACTTTTTGCGTTGTGTTGCCATATTCAGGAGCTGATCTGGCATTGGAAATGAAATGCATATCTCAATATTTTTGTTGGAAATGACGGTGAAGAACAGTTTTCTTCAAAACTCCATAGCATAATAAATTCGAATACTGTATGTGGAAGCACTTGAGGAACGCAAATTGTAAGTTGGTGACGTAAAAGTGATCCACCCTGAAAATATGGGAGGAAAAAATGTTGTTTTGAAAGTGGGATGTCAGTACTCTACTGCACAGGGTTCGTCCCGAAAAATTACACTCCGCATCTAAAGCAAGCTTATTGGGGTCTCAGTCATGGGTTATGTTGAACTCCGACTGTGGATGAAGAATTGAAGATTTATCAAAATATTTATTGGAATGTAAATACTGTATCTGGAAAGGAGCATGTCCACCATTGAGAGCTTATTCTACTACTCTTGCCGTACCAGACCGGATGCGTATAGAAAAGTATGATTTCCAAAGGTGGAATTTGACGACTGCTCATATATGTGGCTTCATTTTTTTATGGGCTCATTCCACATCGTGTTGCATCTCTGCAATAAGATTCACCTCCTTCAACTTGTTTCTGTTCCTTCGCTTTTTTTGTGCTGATGTTGCTTCAACTGTAATTTATTGGCAAAGTTCAAGCCAATCTGAAAATGATGACTCATGCATAAAGAATCGAATCACTTTTCACTCAAACATGGCTCCCCGAATCAATCAACTGCATCATGAAGCATACAGTCAGTTCCTTGATTATCTAATATAGTAAGAGAACGAATGCAAGTACTGTAGACAAAGCAATGCTAATGTATTCTCTAATATTTTCCACTGATTAAAACTAGCTTGTGTGTGCAAAGTTTCGATTAGAACATGAACTTTCTGTGCATATTTTCTTGGTGGTAATACCTGCTCTCATCAAATTACACTAAATGTATCCTCGGGTCGTACTGTAATCTATAGTGCAGTACAGGTATGTGGAGTGGTGAACTAGTTCGCTTTTTTATAGGGCCGACTCTATAGTTGCGCGTCCAACGTGCTTGTTTCGCGAATCGGATGACTTCTGGAAGTTGCTCAAAGAAAAAGGAATTGCTAGGGATCTTTTTCGTGTTCGTGGAATTCTGAGGGATTTCATTTCAACTCTGGCATGATTTGATAAGTTGACGTGTCTTAAAGAATGCAGAAAATTACCGGCACTTGTACACAAGAGGTCTTGACGCTCCCGAATTCGTCAATGGAAATAAGTAATTTTGACCAGGTCAACGATTTGGTGGACCGCTCTTTGCCTCATTTCTGCGATTAAATCTGAGAACCTGATAATTTTCACCGAATAATTTTCTCATGATGAATTTCTAAAATTCTTCTGCTCTTTCAATGAAGTGTTGAAGCTTGTGTCGCGTTTTGGTGCTATCGGTTACGTGCGCGAAAGTGTCGAAGTGATCGTGCAAGGCTGTAGTCTGAGTAGATTATGGATTCGACTGCGTGGGATGGTAAGAACCGTTGTGAAGTGTTCGCTTCTTCGTTGTACCGTTTCCGAAAACTCCTGTGTTTGCTAGTTACAGATTTGAGGAAGCAGGCAAATCATTTAGAAAATGAGCTCGACTTGAAGTTGGTTGCATTCAGTAAGCTTGGAGCTGGCTTGGGAACTACGATCATCGATGAAACGTCAGATACCTCTCCCCTCATATCGAAGGATAACAAGTTCGATACTCTCACATCTGAGATAGAACAAATTCTGGCTAAGGTGCAACACACATCCTCTCTGTTCCTCGGTAGTTTCTAAAACATGTTTTATTTCTCGTAGCTGACAGCCATCAATGATCAAATGAGTTCGTTACCGTTGACAACGACCGCTTCAATTCACACGGTCCAGCGTCATCGTGACATTCTCCAAGACTATGTTCAGGAATTCCATCGGACGAAGAACAACATTCAAGCGTGTAGGAATCGCGAGGAGCTTCTCGGGGGAGCAAATCAGACTTCTGGCCTGAGTAGGCGCATGGACTTCCTTCTGAAAGAAAGCAATCACTTGCAAAAGTAAGGCTTGAGGCCTAAGTTGTTTCGTTAAATCCTAATCCTTTCGTTTCACAGTTCTGACCGTTTGATCGATGAACAAATCAACACTGCGTTGGAAGTGAAAGAACATCTTCACTCCCAAAGAGCAGCCATGAAATTGATCCAAACTAAAATGAACGACATGGCTAATCGGTTTCCGATGCTGAACTCGCTCGTCCAACGGATCAACTTCCGCAAACGACGGGATTCCATCATCATTGGTTCTGTTATTGGGATATGCTTCTTCCTCTTACTNTTAACTGGGAGGATGAGAGTGTTGAATGCACAACTGTGATGAGTTTTGTTTTGAAGAATTTCTCTGTCTGGAAGTTGATCTTCGAATACCAATCGACGGGGTTTTCTTTGGCAGGAAATAGTGATTCAGACATGAAAATTTTTTCCTTTTTGACATCCAACAAATCTGGGACTTCTGCAGACAAAACTGGACCAGATCGCGGTGAGTTTTTATTTTCTCGTTCTGTTGTATTCTTATACGATGAAATTGCACTTTGGCATTGATTCTACAGTGAAATGGCGTTGTAGTATGTTTCCAAAGTGTTTATTTTTAGCTGTTTTATTTGGCAGGGTTGACAAACGAACAGGCTCTGAGCATTGCCTGTTACATTTTCGTTGTTGGTGTGATCGGCATTCCGTTGTGGTGGAAGACCACAGAAGTTTATCGCGTTCACGTGCCACATGGAGACATCAAAGCATTGCAGGATTTTCGATTTGTCAACAAAATTCCCATCAAAATTTTTTTGACTGGAGAGACGCCGGAATTTGAGCGGTTGCCTGCGGAAATCAGCTCCCTCACCAATGGTGATTTGAATATTTTTAAAATTCAACATCGCGTGATTTATGGGTGTGTTCATCATCAAAGTGTATTCCCACTTTTGTTTCACTCATGCGCACTTGCCAAAATCAAAGCAACTCAAGTTATTTGTAAATGTATTAATTCAAGTAACACGCACCCTTAAGTAAGACGTACGCCTGATTTTCTCATCCTAAAATTTGGATAAAAAAAATCGAACCGAGAGTAAGACATGTACCCGATTTTGGTAATGGAAAATTTTCAGAATTTTTTGAATGAAGCATATCAGAATTCAAATTTTCAGTTGATTCTAACCAAAATAAAAAGTATTTAAAAAATGTCCTTGCAAAAGAAATCATCAGGAATTACTAAAATTTTCTTTTTAAATCACATTTCCTTAATCATTGGGATTTTTATTCTAAAATTTGTTGAAATTTTATCCCTGAGTAAGACACGTACCCCATTTCTGGTGACTAAAACTGCATTATTTGAAAAATATGAAAGCCCAAATATGAATTTCGACATGAATTCAGCCTGAATCTGACTAATTTTCAATTTTTTCCCCATTAAAATGAGCTTTTCTTATAAACATCGTGTAAAATTCCCTATTAGAATCAATCGTATTGCACACGTAACCTTCTAAAACTTTTTGAAAAATTTGTGCCCATCTATGACTCACACTCTCGTTTTTCCTCTAAATTTTGAGAGAGAAAAGTTGGGCTCGTACTTGTGAGTAAATACAGTAACTTAT